TAATGGAAGGCAAAGTCTTGCCACTGATCATCCCTTGTCCTCTTGTAGCCTGCACCAGGCCTCTCCAGAAGGTCGGGGAGACCTTCCAAACATTGTTAGGTGCATGGGGAGCGGGGAATTGCCTGCAGTCAGGCCAAGGCATCCTGTGATTCTCTTCCACTGCAGCCTCAGACGACCCGCATCCCACAATGTATGGGAGTTTGCCTCCATCCCTCTAGAGAAGCTTCTTTTGGGAGAGTGTGTGTTTGGCTGGGGGGGGGGGGGAGAGAAGAGGGATAGATCCCTTGTCCAATCTGCCACCTCATTAGGAAACTAATCTGATATTTGTGCAAGTTAGAAATTAAGTACTAATAATAATAATTAATAATGACATTGGATACACCCCCCTAATGTTCTGTCTGAATTATGCTCCCCATCAAAATATCTTTTTTGTAAACTGCTTTGAGGGTTTTTTTAAACACAATCAAGCAGTATATAGATTTTTAAATGAGATAAATCAATCAAAATATTTGAACATGAAATCTGAATCTAGCGAAAGGCAGGTCGTCTCTATTAACAGCATTAAAAAGTAATGCATAAAATAGAAATTGAAGAAGAGGGTGCAGTCAGTCATAATAAAAGAACTGATTATTCTTAAGGTTATGACTAGGTGGCTTGGTTTAGAGGAGACATGAAATAATCTCTCTGCCTAATAGGTTACCAACCATCAGAACAGACATCTTCTGTACAGTGCTGAGATTTGTGAAGCCCAAATAGAAACCAACTGATGTTGCTTTGAATCCCCTAGTTATAATACAAGCATCTTGATGGTTGTTCTAATGGCAATGGAATTAGATTCTGTAGCCTTCTCTCTGCAGATGCAGTCCCGCCACCGGTGCTCCCCTTGCCACACCTAGGCTTGGAAAACCCATCATATTGGCTCAAATGGGGGGCTTTTTTTCAAGCTGAAATGCAAACCGTTAAAAATGCAAACCATCACTATTCGGTAAAGAATGTAGTACACAGACCCTGAGCGGAGTTTGGGCGGGGGGGGGGGGAGGGGGGCGGAAAGGCAAAACCAAAGGTTGAAAGTATATCTGAGAGTTTTATGCATATAGGCCATAACGTGGCACTGGATTCCAAGTGGTTCATAGATTAGTGAGAGGAGATATCCTTGAATCAGAAGGAGCAGCCTTCTTGTAGCCCTTTGATCAAGCATGAATATTCGCAGATGACCGATGCCTGAGTAGCACTACTGTGTCGATTGGGGAGAGCACACTTTTAAAACCTCGATGCATCCTAGCACTGAAATTGCAGTCCATGGCACAACAATAATTCATTTTATTCTGTATAGCATAAAACTCCATTTTTATTTCAGCACATGTGCTCAGAAACATATTTCAACCTAAAAGCATTTTCATCCCTAGGAATAGATTTTGAATTCATCGTAAAAAGCAATTATGTGTATTTTTATATTTTTACGCAACTGTTTAAGAGTATGCAGTATTAGAGTTGACTGGAAGTTTAAGAACCTATCTTTTTGTTTTCTACAAGAAAAAATCCATCTCTTCCCTCTCTGTGTGTGTGCACAGGCAGGCATGGTTTTCTCTTAGGTCAAAGTGGGTAATCAAACACATTGCTTTTTACTGTTCTCCAGCAAGGTCTTTCCCATATATTCACCTGTGAAGAATGTTTGCAAAACCTCAAAGGATTTATGAAGTTGCTACGTTTTCATAATGCGCAAGAAATATGGGGAATGCATTTGTACACAGTAGCAAGCTTTTCTGAACGTTAGTGAATGGCCTTGTAGTAACACATTGTTCTCCTTTTTTAATATATTGTAAACTTAACAGATCATTGATTAATAATTATTTGTATCCTTTTATGACAGTACCCAAGGATGGCCTCAAGAGTCAAGCTGCATTTGAAGAAATGAGGGCAAATTATATTAAAGAGCTGAGGAAGATGGTAATTAAACATCCAAACAGTTCTGGGCAAAGTTGGCAGCGGTTTTACCAACTGACAAAGCTCCTGGACTCCATTCATGATGTAAGTAATTGGCTTGATAGTTTGGAGGAGACTGTTATATACTGTAGGAATCAAACAAATCCCTTGACTGAAGTTGATTGGTATCGTGATGTAGTGTTGTTACAAAAAAGTGAGGCGATACCTGTTCATCAGCGCTAAAGGTGAGATGGCAGGCAAACGTGGCTCGTCAGTAGCAGAAGTGGCACTGAGCAATGGCGAAGTGGTACTACTGAAGTGGTACCCATTACATCACACCATACAGGAAATGCACAGTGTGATGACATCATACATTTCCCTACCTACCTACCAACTGGAGAAAAGGAATAGTGGGATTCAGGTTGCTGTTTTGAGTTGCAGGCGCATGAACAGTATTAAGTCTTGTTCTGTTAACAAGCACCAAATACGAAAAGAAAAAGTAACTAGTTTGTAGATTTTTGTATAGAAAATGAGCGGTATCCAAGTGACTTTGCCTTTATGGACAGGGCTTCAGCGAGGGCACCAACACTGCCCACCCCCCTGTATTGTACTGCAATCTTCCATGGAATAATATTTACTGTTGCAGACAGTCGCCCAAAACCTTAGGAACAGCTTGTGGGTGGGATAAGGTGGATGCAGGAGATAGTTTGGTGAAAACTGGCTGACCTGACTTGCAGAAAGGGAAGCGCTTCCACAAAGGCAGTGCCACCATTGAATACAACCAAGTGAGAAAGCTACTTTCTGGGCCTACTGGGTAAGGGATCTGCTTATGTGCTGGGAGAAATAATTTAATGAGTAATGTTCTGCAAGCAAGAGGACAGGAAGTTGCTTTTGAGTCATCACATGGTTTAAAACAGAAAGCAAAGTTCATGAACTGTGCTCAGAGCTAACCTTGTGAGTCAGTGCAAGTCAATTTTAGGCACTCGATCAGAATTCCATTGAAATGTAAGGGTGTAATTACAAATGCTGAAAATCTTTGTATGTGAAACCCAAGTTTTCAATTGCTGCTGTCCTCTGCCCCACCCTCACCCTCGCCACCCCCTGCCCTCAATCCACAATTCTCAGTACCTCATATTTCTGCGTAATCTTATTGAAGTCCATGCAGCCATTTCAAAGTACGGCTATTTGTGAATAGTATCTCAAGTCTTTCAAAGACAATGCAAATTGCTTTGAACCAGAATGAGTCAGTCATACGCAGGCTTTAGAATTCACCAACTCATTTAAATGTATTATTATTGACATAATTCCCAACTTATTCTCCAAAGGGATTTTGGTTTCTTTATGAGCTTCTGTTTTGTGGAACCACCAGTTACAAGAGGATAGCCTACTGCTAAGCGCCTCTTTAAAGCTGTTTAATTGTACAGCAAGAGCAAGCAAACTCCTCAGCTCCATTCTTATGATGTAGCAAGGAAATACGCTTTTGATACACATGCTGTGCACAGAATCTTTGGCCTCAGTATGTGAGAGGCCACATATAAATGTGCTTCTTTGTACTTGACTGGCTTATTTGTGAAGACGCAGTACAGTATGGTGCATTTCAGGTCAAATCTGCACCAAAGCCCGAGGTCTGTTTACAGAACATACATATGGAATTATTTGTCAAGTAATGTGCTGTTAATTAAAACACTGAAATATCTCGGTGGGAGTCAGAGTATTATTAGTACTGCAGTAACAGCTCATTCCTTTGAGACTAGCTTTTGCTTTTGAGGAGGGGGGGTAGATGTTTTTCTGCTCAACATCAGCTTGCTCTGCAAACCAGATTAGTTAAAGTCCTTGGATTCAAGCCAGTAGAGTTTGCATTGAAGTCAGTGAATCCAAGTCAGCATCAGTTCAAATGCTTCAGATTTACCGTATTATGTAGCAAGCTGCCTGTGAAAGTTGGGCTGGTGCGTGCGTGCGTGCAATATTTTGAACCGTGCCAGTAAAATGGTGCATCATATATTTTCAGAGCCAGAACTAATTATACTCTCCATATATAATTGGACAGAATTTAACAAACACCAGGGGAAATATCCCTTATTTGTGGGTTGTTGTACTGTCTGAAAATGTGTTGGGGGACACTGCTGCGAAAAGTTGTTCATGTGGCATTCCCCCACATCGGAATCTCTGTGCACATGGAAGCCTGTTGAGAGGTATTCAACGAAGCTATGCTGACAGTAGACCCATTAAAATCCATAGACCTAGCTTTATATTATGAATTGATTTCAGTCCGTCTATCTACTCAGAGTAAAACTTAAGTTTAATGCCAACCAATGTGTCAGGGAGAAATAAGAGGGTGGCATTGTTTCACACAGAGTAGACCCTCTAAAATTCATGGGCCTAAGTTAGTGTTTGTTCATTTAAATGGGTCTACTTAAATGAGTAATATTTCGCTGACTCCCACCTATTGTCTTCTGAAGAAGGAAAGAGCGTGTGTGCTCTTGTCCAAATTGGTCTGAGGTAGCAAATCTCATTGACTGGATCCAGCAGTTTTTTATGTTCTAATGCTGGAATTGTCTATGGGTACATGGAGCCCATTGATTTCAATGGGACTGACTCCTGGGTATGAGGGTTGCAGGCTGTGAGGATGTAGAATAGAAACAAAATTAAGGCAACACAATACTCTGTAATATAGGGAGCACAAGTGAAGGGAAATATTTTACATTGCTCAGTGGTTTTAGCTGGCCTTCCACATGGTGAACATATGTGCATGCAAAAAAATATGCCAAGGTGTGAAAAAAATTCCATGAAAGGAAAGGTAAGCAAATAAGAATTTGAAAGCATCAGCAACTTTATTTACGGAGCCCCTAAAAACAAAACAAAGCAATTATAGAACAGCTTGAATTCAGACCTGCAGAGGTCACAATGCTGATTAAGGCAGATTTGTGCTGATTTAAGGCCCCTTAGTCAGTAGGATTCACATCTCAATTCTATGCATTAAGTCCCACCTGCAAGACATGCTTAAGAACATTAGGGTATGATGCCTTGGAGGGGCAGTGACTGGAGCATAGCCTGTATGAAAAAATAATTGCAGGTAAATACTTAGAGTTGGAAGAGACCACAAGGGCCATCGAGTCCAACCCCCTGCCAAGCAGGAAACACCATCAGAGCACTCCTGATGCTGTTTCCTGCTTGGCAGGGGGTTGGACTCGATGGCCCTTGTGGTCTCTTCCAACTCTATGATTCTATGACTTAAGTAATTTTACATTCAAATAGTTTGTGTCATGGGGGGGGGTCAAAGCTCTAGTTAGTCCTCCTCCTCGCCCCCCAAAAAAGAAATGTTTCAATGTGACATAATGGCAATTCCTTTTAAAAATGTAAACGAATAAAATTATGAATTGAGCACTGTATAGACTTGAAACAATTGGGGTCCCTTTTCCATCCATTTCAGAAGGGTTTTATGCTCAAGCTCCCCACCAAATTCAGAGACACAAAATATCAGCAGGCATCATATGGACGCAGAAATGCATGTTATACCACTTTGGGTTGGAGAGAATGGGTGACAGCTTAGGTGCTGATATAGAGTCTTACTGGTTGAATTGAACTGTTCACTTGCTAACACAAAAAGCACTTAATAGCTACAGAAGCACAGCTACTTAGGGATACATTCAGTGGTGAGTGGAATTTAGAAAAGCCTGCAACTAAAGAACAGACTTCAATTGACGCCTACTTGGTATCAGGTAATACTTCTGGTTTTTTCTCTGAAAGGGAGAGAAATCCTCACTGGCGGATCAGGGCTTTTCCATCTCTTCTCTGCACTGCAGCCACCAGCTCTCTTAAAAAGTTACTCCTGAGGGAACAGCATGGGAACTAGCATGGTGTACTGCCAATGAAGGAGAGTGAAAGTTTAGACCAGGGATAGGGAACTAACGTAGTCCAGCATCCTTGATTTTGGGTGATGCTGAGGCCAATGAGAGTTGGAAGTCCAACATCTGGAAGCCCCAAAGTTTCCCATCCCTGATGTAGACCAATGTGTTATTTTTGTCATCCAGCAGTTGAACCAGTTCGGAGGGGCGGTGGGGAGATGCCTATACCTTTATAAGCCAATTTTCATGGCTTAATGAAAAGAAAATGCATTAAAATGATGGCTTTTGTTTGGAGATTCTAAGCCTGAAATCCAGCCCTGGAACAATGAAAACCACAGTGACCACATTGAGTTAATTGCATTGCACAATTGTTATTTCTATTGATAAGACTAGGGAAGAACCATTTGTTGGTCTTCCACCAAAATAACAAAAACACACTCTCTCTGTCTCTCTCTCTCTCTCTCTCTCTCTCTCTCTCTCTCTCTCTCATTGGAATCATTAGAATTTCTGACCGGTCTTAAAATCTAGAAAACATAAACAAAGCTGAATTGATAAGACACAAATTATTATTGAAAATTTTCACTCCATTTAGTTTGCTCCAGTGAGCTAGCGATGGAAATCAGAAAGGGATCAAAGTCAGATAAGAATAAAAAGAATGTACAAATCAATTTATAAATGGAAAATATTAGATGGGCAAATAAAAATAATTACCCCATCAGCTACCAATAAAGCATATATAATACTAAGCCCTTAATTTCTTGCTCATAACCTTCCACTTGTTCAAACTAGTTAAAAGCTTACTAAATCCCTAGCCTTACAACAGTTCAACCTAAAGATTAAGGGATGGGTGGGGTTTAGCTACCAATCCCAGAAGGGATAAAAGAAACTATTTTTTTTTTGACCTGGGGCAAAGTTGAGAACGATGAACTCAGGATCTAGTGTAAAGGCTTCAGCATCGTCCAAATGGTAAATAGGTTCATGTAAAAAATAAAGGAAGGATGTTTAAAATTGGAATTTCAAGATTTGAGTCGCACAAGAGAATAAACAGAAAGTAAAATAAAAATAAATAGGATTTTATGGTAAAGAAACCTGCATCTATTCAAAACTGTCCATCAGCCAAACTTCCAGACCCAAAAAGCAGGCTCAGAATAAATGAGCAACTTCTAAAAATGAAGGTGGGACATGCACAAAGCAACAAATCCCTTCTCCTATCAGAGAGGACAAACTGGGCTCCAAAAGTCTGATCATAGGACTCCTTTTAGAAATCTCCTCTTCTTAGTAGACAGCCCCATGTGGTCTTAGCAACATAGTTCCTACGTGTGCTCTTTTGCCAGTGTGCATAAAGCATTGTTCAGGAAGAAAAGGTGTTATTGAGAATCTGGCTTTATATTCAGAGGCATGTCTGGTTTGGTTTGTTCTTATTTTTTATGTTGTGAACAGCACAGAAATATAGAATAAACTGTGGTTGCTGGTGATGGGAGCTCTCTAATGAAGTCATAGTCAGAAAAGAAGCAGTTTGAAAAAAGGAGCTCTTCTGTAACCAAAGGTTCTATTTCTTTTACACACACAACAGAGAGGTACATGGGGTGTGTGTGGACTATTTACATGATTGGAACAAATATTCATTTGCCATAAACCAGAGCAAACCCTGCTTAGATCCCATTGATTTCTGTGGGAATTAATTGGTACAAAATTTCTCTGGCTTCTAAATACTCTTTACTAGCACATCCATATATGAGTGGTGGGTGGGGAGCTTACTTACTGGTCTTTGTCCGATACCTATTCTACTAAGGAAAATTGTTTCTTAACGCTGTTTGTTTTTGCATCATGAAGACTTTCTACATCAATTTCAATGTGCCCCATTCCTGACCCTTTTCCCCTGTTGCATTTCAGCTTGTTAGCGATTTGTTGGAATTCTGTTTCTACACCTTCCGGGAGTCTCAAGCTCTGAAAGTGGAGTTTCCAGCCATGCTGGTAGAAATCATCAGTGACCAGTTGCCCAAGGTGGAATCTGGGAATGCCAAGCCCCTCTACTTCCACAGGAAGTGACAGAAAAATGTCTTAATGGAGAGAAAAAAAACTTTGCCTTAAGTTTCCCTGTGCTATTCCACACCCATGAAGGACCCAAGAAGCCAACATTTAAAACATGCTATACAAAATTGTTCAATGGTCTCTAAATAGTCTGAAAACCATAGCCAGGGTTTGGAGGATGGAAAGCAGCATATGTGAACTAGACGAGCAAAGTCGTCAAGATGCATCTCCCCCCAATAACCCAACATTTAGGAGAGAAAAAAATATGTTCCTGTTCCTCTGGATGAAAAGCCATATCTAGTCAAATAACTCTTTGATTTTGATATTTTAAGAGATGAACATTTTAAATATGCCATGTAGTTTCCGGTATTGTTTGCTTGTTTTAAAAAGGGTTCAAGGACTAATATGAACTTTTGAAAAGCTTACTGTTGGTTTGCACATAAAACAAAGTCAATATGGGGCATTAATAATTGTACTATACACACACACACACACACACACACACACACACACAAATCCCTGGATGTGTAAAATAAATAATGGAGCATTTGGTGTGGAATAATCTTGGTATATTAACCTGCGGCATTTGTTATCCCATATTATCCATCACAGATGATCTACACTATGTTAAGTGTTCATTTATTATTTAACTTGAAAGGATAAGATGTTAAAACAAATGCCTCGGTTTCGATTTCTAGTATCTATTGTGCTGGCTTTACCAATAATTTTTCGCAGTCTTTTGCTGTATTGTACATTGCTGTATGTATAAATTGAAGGACCTGGAAAAAATGGTATAAGGAACTTTTGTAAATGAGACCTAAAAATCTTTAATGGTTAATAGGATGAATGGGAAAGTATTTTTGGAAGAATTCTATTTTGCTGGAGACTATTTAATTACTCTTTTTGTCTAAACACAAGATAATTTTTTTTGTAAAGTGAATTGTTCTGCATGCATAATGAACCGTTTACAGTGTATTTCAGAAAGGGAAAGCTGTGCCTTTTTAGCATCATATCTAATTTACCATCTGACAGTGTCTGCTGTAAATAACCACCCATAGCCATTTTCAGTTGCACTTCTTTTCTGTCCATTTTCATCCATAGTATCTGTCTGCTTTTTACATGACTCTAGCACACAAGAGTTCTGCTCCATGCCTCTAGCTAGCTGTGTTTGCAGCTATCTGCACATTTCACATCTACCAAGATAGACTCCAAAGGGCACAACCCACTAAGAAATTGTCTCGCTGAAGTGAATGAAGATGTGGAAGCACACAGTACTTCATACATTTCAGTACAGCTTCCTGAGGACAGTATCCTATTGGGTTGTGCCTAGAGTCTCCTCAAAGGCTCTTCAGTCCTGGGACAAGGTGAGATTCTGCCTGCCAATCTGTTTTATTTCCAAGACTGCAACTCAACACACAGCTAGGCTGAAATCCTATACACACTTATCTGGGACTTACCTTTGAGCAGACATGCATAGGATTGCACTCCTTGATTTCAGTGGGACAGTTTGGGTGTCTAATATTGTAACAAAGTTGTGGCTAAAAGGGAGAGCTAAATAATAATAGTGGGGTTTTGGGTTTTTTGCTTCTCCTTTTCAATCTGGAATGTACATAAACTACAAAAAAATGGGGCTAAAAATGTGAGAAAATAAATTTCAACACACATACTAGGTAAAATTCTGGAATGATATAATTATGTGAAAGAAGATACGCTATTGACAAATTTGGACTGGGGTGTGTGTGTTATCCTAGATCATAAACCTACTTATTTGGAATTATGTGCTACTGACTTAGTACAAATTATTTCCTTGTAACTATGTTTAGAATTACTGCTCAACTAGTTAGTAACTTAATATTAATACCATAACACTTTTACAAATCAGTGCTAAAACATAGCTAACAACTTTAGGCATGAGCCTTTAATCTGGATTTCTCTCAAGACTTACTTTATGAACTGAGATGATGAAAAATGTATCTTTCTTGGGGTGATCAACATTATACATTTTATAAATAATTTAAACATTGGAGGCTGCATTATAGCAACATTTCCTATGACCATTGATATTAAATACAAATGTAAAGAGAATAATTGTCAGAGTTATACTTCTGGTAAACTTGTGTCTAGGTAAAGTTTGTGAAAATAAAAGAAACCTTAACAAAGTCTGGGATCCAAAGACCTCCAAGTAGGCATTGCCCAGTGGGATTTTCCCTCCCCCAGCTGAACACCAGATTCCAATGATGTATCATAAGCTGCTTTTGAAAGTGCCCTCAGTTTCAAAGTGGTTTTCTATGTGGCACAGAGAGAAGAAAAAGAAGCCCAAAGTTTCCTTACAAAGTCTCTTTGTATCCTACCCGCAAACTCTCAATAATCAAGTGTGCATTAGATTCAGAAATTTGAATGTTTGCATCTCATAAACAGGATGCAAACATTACTACTACTATTTTTAAGTCACATGTCTCATTGAATGGGAAATCTGTTAAGGTACGCTCAGAAAGAGTCAATTTACACATGCATATATTATTTGCAGTTTTAGAAATCTAATTCATAAATCAGCTCCTTTGATCTGCACAGCAATATGAAAGCTGCTCTTCTAAAGTGATAAAAATACACCGCATGCAGACTGGTTGTTTATATTGAAGAAGTGGTCACAAATCTCCCTTTCATTTACCATTTTTTTAAAAACCATACTGAAATTGGAATTTCAAATTATTCAGGTTTGTGGTAAACGCAGTATGGTGCTGCATTTTTTTATTAACAAAGTTACTGAATCTTTTTTTATCACTAAGTAACTTTGCCTAATTAAAATATTAAAGCCATATTCTTTTTTTAAAAAATCCACTGTTAGATGTCTATCCCAATTCACGTTGTTGTCTGATTGCTATTTTTTTTTGTACCTTATTGCATATAATCTTGGTTTGGTACAATTCATAATTCACAGAAATGTCATAAGTAAAACACTACATTAGTTTTAAAAACAGTTTATATCTTTATGCAAAATATATGTCTGTCTTTGCAAACAATTGTAAGCAGATTATAATAAATCCTTTACTTTAATCACCTGTTTATGAAACCATTGATTATTGCTTAGAAATAATAAAAATGAAAAATGAAAAAAGGAAGGAATCAGGAGTACATTGTACTTTAGAATGAAACAGGCATCTGTCTCCTGCAAAATAAGATAAAAGTTAACTTCAAAATGTCAAAATGATAAATTGTGTTGATCGAGTGTAATGATTTTGTGGCTATGAATGACTGAAAATATACAGCAAGAATATTGTATTCTTAAGTAAAAAATGTAAAATAGTTTTAATTTACTGCAGTGGGTATTTCAAGAATAACATTGCATTGCAGTGTGTAACCATTTTGTTGCACAGAACAAAAGAGAAAAAGGACTAAAAGCTTGCAATATCAACATCTTAATAAAATATACTTTATAATCAATAATGCAAAAATCTAATTCACAGGGTGGTATTTTCACTGACTTAAAAAAAAAAACCTTTATGAATTTAACCCATTCTACATTTAATGCACTTTTGATTGTCTATTAAAGATGTGACTTTTTATAGAGGGGGAGGGGGGAGAAAGAGAGAGAGAGTGAGAGAGAGTGCGTGCAGGAGGTGCAATTTCATCTGGCAGGTGAATAACCTGATAGGCAGCAGTTATAATGCCAGGATTCTCAGTTATGTTTCAGAGTTCATGGAGTTGAAGAGCACATTCCTCTGGGAACTTTGCACTTGTGCAGAAGAAGTTCTTGGCAGATTGTGTCCTGATTATATAATGCTAGATGAAAAATATAGAGCAGGCAGCAACTATGGTGTAAAACGACATCTATGCATAATAATGCATTAACAATTAGGGGCTTGCTTCTGTATGTTTAAACTTTTTGAATAAATAGAAGATTACTGTTTGGCCTTTATGTTAATGTCTTTAAGTACCTAATTTTTTATAAGTTGTATAAATATACACAAATTAAAATGGTGTGATTCCCGGTATTCCTTGCGCTTTGATATCAACCACACTCACCTGAAGATGCATCTGTTTCTTTGGGGAAATGCCCTTGAGTGAAATTAAATACATTATGCAGTTTTTGTAAGTCTTATTTGCAACACCTGCCTTCGTAGTAACAAGGGCTTTGATGGTGCAAGTTGCTTCACCTGGGCTTCACCATTCAGGTAATCTCCCCGATATTGTAGACTGGCACAAATTGCCCTTAACATCCAAGTAAACTTATTAGGATGAGGCAGCTAAGGGCAATTTGGCTCCAAGAAGCCAGTATTGGAGCATTAGGGTTGTATCCTTAATTTAGCACCACATGGCAGATGGCTTTTGAAGGGAGCCCATTGCTGGATTTCCCATTGGAAAAGGACACGATTGTCAGTGTGGGCTGGAGATAGGAACGTTGTATGACACAAACGTAGGGGAACACAAAGGGATGCCTTTCACAGAACCTTTGTGTGGGGCAACTTTGCAAAGATGTTTAAACCATGCCCGGTGCAAACGAAAGCCCAAAGCTGAAAGAAAAAGCACCATGAGCGTTTCTCTGAACACCTGAACCATTTTATACATATACTGCTGGGAATAGACTTCTCCAAAGCTGGCTGCTACTTTTTTGACCTTCTTGATATAAGTAATTATCATAATTTACACACCCATTGGTTTAAGAGAAAATTGGACCATGTTTCTAAAATAATATTCACTGGAATACTAAGGAAGCAATTCTGCCTTTGCAGATAATACTGAAGGTCAAGCTACCCACAATCTTTATCATGGGGACAAAGCGGGAGAAAGACTTCAGTGTAGTCCCAGCACAGCAGCCATTAATTGGTTGAATGGGTGGTGTTCTTTGACCTGGCATGGAGAGTTTCTATGTGACCACCATCTTGTCAGAAAGTGGCAATATAACCATGCAACCTCTCCGTGTAATACCAGAGCCTCACTTTGCAAATCAAGAGTACAGGGCTCAGCTGGTTTTTTAATTCATGCTGGCAAAATGCACACCCCCCCCCCAAGTTAACCACCAGTCTTTGGGTGGCAAAAGTAAAAGTCGGAACCAAAACTGTTCCAGTCTGATTGTTTCGTCTGCACATATACATACCCTCCCTAAAACACTTAAGAATCACCTATGCCTCTCTCTCTCTCTCTCCCTCTATAATTGCAGCCTAGTTGTTTATGCACAGTCACAAAGTAGCATGACCAAGCAGTAAGTTGTCACCAAAATCTTGTCTATTATCTCGACTTTCCACGTTCCCCTTCAAATCAGCACCCGACTTCTGCCCCACATACATACGATTGTATGGAGCAGCAGGATGCTTGCTGACAGCTCCCCACATCCAATCCCACTGCGACTCTGGAAGATGTTCAGGCTTCTTCTCCATGCAGAGGTCACTCTCAACATGCAGAAATTCTGCAAACGGCACCTTTCATGGTTGCACTGAACGCTCAGGGCTAGGCCATAAGGTACAAGTCTGTTTATGCTATGCACATTCTTTACAGCAGTAGTGAGAAAGAGTGAAATGACTTACATCCATAACGTGTGCCTCACTCTCTTCCCCCCACCGTGCCCTTGTAACAGTTGGAAAAGAAGAGAATCTGATTTCCATTACATTACTCCGCAAGCATCTGCACTGTTTTCGGTCACATTTCCTAACTGCTTGATGATCTCCCAAGTAGAATCACCTTAAAGCTATCTGGCAAAGATTATAGCCTCAGACACAAAGAAGTATATTAATGCCCCACAGCCTGGGAGAGTTCCAGTTGGACCAGGGAGGCAGAAGTACATTGGATCACAACTGCACCATCTGGAAATGATTTGTGAACACTCTGAGGGCCTTATAGTTCTGGGCAAAAGAACAGACAATGATTGTCAGTTAAAGCTCATTAAAGAAAATAATCTGAAAGTATAGTAACTGTGAAGTGTTTTTTTAATCAAACTTTAAGTAGACAAAGCTCTTTTAAAAGATTATTATTTTTTTGACATTAGTTAGGGAGTTTGCACAGGTAAAATATTTACTGTCTATTTATTTAGGAGTAGGTGTACTTTTAAAGCAGATTAACAGTTGATTAAGTCATTTCATTAAAATCCCTGCCAGTAAGATATACAGCAGGCACCCCCCAAACTCGGCCCTCCAGCTGTTTTGGGACTTCCAATTCCCATCATGCCTGACCACTGGTCCTGTTAGCTAGGGATGATGGGAGTTGTAGTCCCAAAATATCTGGATGTCCGAGTTTGGGGATGCCTGATATACAGCCTACGTGAACCAATTTTGGTTTAGGAGTTAAATTCCCACAAATACGTATCTGGTAAGCAAGGTATATGGAAGGCCAAACAGATCTAATGGGGCTCTGTCTCTGTTGTTTTTCAGAATAAAAATGATTGTCATTTGGGGTGGGTAGGATTTCCTCAGCAGCTCTAAGTTTCTTCTACTTGTAGCTTTCTTTGCTCTATCAGGTCATGTGTGTGCAAAAGCATACCACCACAATACTAAAAAAAAAACATTCTGGGATGTACGCATAGCAACAGTTGCTGAATTAGGACTCATAGCTGCTCTGCTTAAGTTGGTAAGTGAATTGTCCCAAACACATGAAAACCCTTGTCAAAACTGATGACAGGGGCCCTTTCTTAGGCTGGTCTGCCATCAGGCAGCTTCCTGGCATAATCGGGAATCTGTTGACTGGGACAAAGGCCTTTAAAACATTTAATGCAAGTATTTTTAAGGGGGGAAATCAGGGATTGGGCTTTCTGACACTTTCTGTTCCTCAACTGACACCCTATTAAAACAGTTAATAGAGGGATCACCTATTTCTTGTTTTTGCTGCAAAAGACTTTAAACAGTCTTGTGGCACTCTAGAGGCTAACAAATTTATTAGACAATTATCGGTGAAGTGGACTGTAGCCCAGAAATATTTACTAACAATATAATTGTTAGTCATATAATTTAAAGTCAATTCAGACCTGACACTTTTCACAAATTTGCACTTTGGGCTAAGAGTCATCAATTACATGGCAAGCAAAGGGATGTGTTTGGATATAGGAAGCATAATCTGAAAACTTCTGTTTAAGTAGTTCCATCGTCTCTCTATCAAACCCGGAGGCAGAAGAAAACAAATCCTTTTTATAAAAAAAAAAGTGTTGTATTTAAACAACTCTGGTCATAGCAAATTAATAATACATGTGAAAACTTACAATCATGAATGAACAGTATATTGCAGTAAAGTGAAGCTTCTTTCTTTTCACATTAACTGTGATGTGAAACTGGCAGTTGAAGAGCCTTTCCATTATTCTGTTGGAAATAAGCAGTGCATAAATTATCCCTGATTGTACGCAAAGTTACATGGACAACTAAGACTCAAAGTAGATGTGATACGTAGTCAAGTGTATCAAACTTAAAAAAATAAATAAATCCAAAAGCAGCCTTGTGGGGAGCAGGTTCCTTAAATCTTTCCCTTTCAGTTTTTTTTTTCCTGGTAAAAAAAATCCCCTCCACCCAGCTGCTTGAAGATGAAGGGTGGAGGGCTTCTGGGGGGGTGGGGATGGGGTAGGAAAATAGTTGTAGGAGAAGAGTTAAGCAGTTCTCCTTCCAATTCCTCCATGTCAGTTTTGGGACTTGTCTCAAGGGAAAGAAAAAAGTAACAGCATGCTACTACTAGTTTGAGCCTATGTAAAAGTGAACTTCCGTCAACAGATTATCAAAACAGTAAACATACTTTCCACAGCATTAATAGAGAACAAGATGTCCTGATTCCAATAAGTTGACGGTAGGAGGAAACCTACAGAACTCAGAGGATCATATATGTGCCTTTAAAATATATAATAAGTGAAGCCATATAATTTGTATAAATTTATCTGCACCACTGTGGACATTTGAAAGCTGTATTTTATTCTTCCTTCCTGTGAGTGTAAATTAATGATGCTTCCACCAGCTAAATTTCTCCCTTTCAAAATAAGGGAAAACTAAACTGACAATTAACACTGTAGTAGCCTGCTTTAACCCTCACAAAGATACCAGCTTACACTGAACTACCAACATTTCCCCAACTTTTTCAATAAGGTGGGTAGGTCAGGCTGGCTGGGGACTGGGTTGGAACCAGAAAAGATTCAAATGTCTCAGATCGTTAAGAGTAAAAGTAAATACTGCACAATCAAGTCTTTTTTTGATTTAACATTCATCTTACAAACATACATATGTATAATTATGACTCTTTACAAACCTAAAGTACTATTTTTAAAATTACCCACCCTTTCCCCTCCCCATATAAAATTACTGCTCAATTCCTATTTGGCAAAATATTAAGTCTTTATACAGATGAAGGTCTTCCATCTCATTGTCAGGTCCTGAACTGATTAAAAATAGGTGAAGCCAAAGAGAAGCAACTGAATCATAAAATCCATGGATACCATGTACACCTTCCAGGCATTCAACGAAGAAAACTAAAAAAACTGGACATAGTTTTGGGGAATGAGTCCTCTCTTCCCATTTAGTGTTCCTTCTAGCCAGCCGGGTTCCCGTGAATACTGCACTGTTGAAAGAGGGGAGAAAACAGACACACTCCTATTAATCCACTATTTATGACAGAAGTCACAGAATTGTACAGCTGGAAATCAACGATACAGCTTAAGTCCATGAAACTCTTTTACTCACAATCACAAACAGACAGAGGGAGTCTTTTGAGTCTCTATTTTTCCCAGAACTACTGCTCATTTAATTACAGATTTGTATGAGGGCCAAACTCTTGCATGAGTCTTTTTCATGATAGATTCCCGCCCCCCCCTTCAGCGACAGTACTTTAAGGAGGGTGGAATCTTGAGCAGAGGATCTGGTGATCAGTGGGAGCGAAAGGGCTGCTTTAATGTTTCCCTACCCATCATTTCCTCAGCGTTCCCTACCCCATTCTGATGTTTCTCCACCATCAGCAAGGAAAGACACAGGAACTTGTACCATTTAATACTATTCTATTTGAAGATGAAACTCCAAGCAGAGCTAAGAGGTAAGACTGCCTTTAAAGGCTTATTAGAGATACAGAAGTAGGAATGTGGGTCTCAAAAATGCCCCCCCAACCAAGCTTCACCAACTTATTAACGTAAGATTGGCACCGTCTTTTGTTTTCTAACTGATCACAAGAATAGCCAGTCCGACGATGAAACCTTGTAACAGGCAATTTAAAGAAATTTCAGTATTTGGGAGAAGAAATGATTGCGGATATCTTTAAAAAGTTAGCGAGGTAGGAGAGAGATTTTACCTCCACTTTCAAGTCTATTTTTGCAGGCAAAAGGGAGAGATTTGTATTTTTTTAAGTATGATATTCTGAGGCTGTTCAATTCTGCGTTTGTGCAGAATACTGAAACACATGAGCCCTGAATATATTACACATGGGAAAAGTAAATTTAAGCACACACACAGGATGAATTTTCTTTAATTATCTTTTCACATAATTGTAGAGTTGGAAGGGTCCATGAGGGTCATGAAGTCCAGCCCCCTGCAAGGTAAGGAATCTTTTGCCCAACCTGTCCCTACATTGCTCCAAAATTGCTTGAAGTGACTGGGGAAGCATTTCCTCATGCAGGAGGCACCTAAATAAAGAAATATTCCTTCATTCCCAGTAATACTGGGGATGCCATAGTAATGTTCAAATGGACTTGTTTTTAATACTGAATCAAACAGGAACCCTTTGTCCACCCAGGAACTCACTGGTTCTCCCAAAGATCTTTGGGGCTGGCCTCCACTTTTTCTAATCCCACACATTAAGTTACTAAGAGTTTTGCAAATAATACCAATGCAAATCCATAGGTAGCACAGCAAACACTGCAGTAACTGGATACCTACTACAAATGGCTTGTAGGAGGATAATGAAGCCATTATCACTCCCACCTGGCAAGGTGCACCAAAGTCTTTACAAATGTTTGATGCATACAGCTTCAAAATCACAAAATATTTATTTACACTGATGCTCCTTTGGGGTGGGGTGGGGGGAGGAGGACAACATAACTCAATGGAAAGTTTTGAATATCAAAAGGAATACTAAGAAAAATACCACTCTCAAATGGAAGATTAAAAAAACTATAATTGGCATAACATTTACCCTTTGTAATTTTCACTGCATAGGGTAAGCACACGTTTTAAATGGACTGATTCCACATCCCCGCAATTGGGTCTCTAAAAAGTTCCTTCACAGCAGCTGACACACGACGACATACATATTAAGATTGCCGAGACAGTACAGGTGAATACACATTAATCGGGATACAAACATATTAGACAGACTACTTCTGCCAGCAATTATCTTAAAGGTTAAATTATAATTGGCCCTATTTTATCCATACTAAGCAGCCTTTATTTTGCATTATAAAGCTCACAGGAGTCTTGTCAGTGACAGGGCG